CACCCGAATCAGCATTTTTCGAGAGAAGATGTACAAATAGAGAACAGATACAAACATACTACACATCACACATCAGCAAAGGTCCAAGACAGAGCTTCACCACAGTCAGGATGGCTTTACAAGCAAATAAATACCGAATGCAGTGGGGATGCTGAGAAAGGAAACTTTAGGGCTGGTGAGATGGCCCGGCCCCGTGGCCAAAGGCGATTTTCTCCAGAAGACAGAACTGTGTTCAAACTCAGTAATCCAAATGGCAGAAGGAAAAACTCCTGCGAGTTGTCCTCTGACCTCCACGTGTGCACCGTGGCACACAAGCTCACACAGGTGCTCACACTCACACACAACTTTTTAAAAAGAAAAACCTTTCATACAGAGATGATGGGAGTGTGGATTGATACAGCCGCATGGACACCACACAGTTGTACCACCAGAAATCAGAAGAGAACTACCATAGGATCCATGAATCTCAATACTGGATACATACCCAAAGGAACGGAACTGAACAGACATCTTTCATGATCACACACTAACAGACACCCACATACTCACCGCAGCACTATTTACAAGAACCACAATAAAGAAGAATCCCTGGTGCTGTCCACTGACAGATGAATGTGTGGCAAACTGTGACATGTATGCATGCATGCTGGAGTATGATTTTAGCCATGAAGATTGAACTCTGTCCCTGCAGCAACACAAATAGGACATGTATTATGCACAGAAAGTCAGGGACATACATTATGCACAGAAAGTCAAAGACTCCATGTTCTGGCTCACAGGTGCTGGCAAAGCGGTAGAAACTGGGGCAGTGATGCAAGAGCCTTGGGCAGGAGACACGGGGAGAAGATGCCTGCTACGTGCAGAGGTACAGCTGCATGGGAGAAAGAAGCTTCAATTTTTTTGTTTTGCTTTATTCCATGGTGTTGGGACGTAAACGCAGGACACTCAAGGCAAACGCGCCAAACCACATCCTCAGCCAGAAGTAACTCTCTGTTTTATAAATAATTTATTTACTTTTATTTGATGTGTGTTGGTGTCTGCATGTATATCTGTATGAGGGAACTGGAGCTACAGACAGCTGTGAGCTGCCATGTGGATGCTGGGAATTGAACCTGGGTCCTCTGGAAGAGCAGCCAGTGCTCTTAACCGCTGAACCATCTCTCCAGCTCCAGAAGTAACTTTCAATGCCCTATGACACAGCAGGATCATTATGATTGATAACAATTAGCTGAGTGTTTCAAAGAAGCAAGTAGGGAAGACTCTGAATTGTTGAAACACAAAGAGACGATAAAAATCTGTAAGGATAAATAAACCAATTGCTCTGATTGGGTCATTTCTCGCGCGTGCGTGCGTGCGTGCGTGCGTGCGTGTGTGTGTGTGTGTGTGTGTGTGTGTGTGTGTGTGTGTGTGTGTGTGTGTGTCTGCATGCACACACATGTGCACCCACACACTTAAATGTCACATCATACCCATAAGTATGGACAGTTATTGTGTGTCTATTAAAAATAGAATACATCCCACTATCTCCAGAATAGTGCAAATCCTTTCTGTAGATCAGCTCTGTTACTGTCTCCATCACTTTGAGCTGTTATGATCCTGATGTTCTATTTCCACATGATAAGCCCTTAGAGGGAATAATCTAGAAACCTCAACTCATCTTCACAGTGTACCTCATGCTATCTTTCTGTCTCCTCTCTTGTTACCACACAAGAACAAACGAATCCTTTTCCAACTTGTTGCTGTTTGTTTTGTTTTAAGACAAAGTCTCATTGTGTAGCCCAAGCTGGCCTTGAATTCTTGATCTTCCTGCCTCAGCCTCCTGAGTGCTGACATTGCAAATGAGCACCAATGTGCCTAGGTCATTTTCCTACCTTCTAAAGGAAAAATCCCTGTCTCTCATTCTGTCTGCTTTCTTCTTATTGGGACTTCTCAATATTTATCAGACACTCTCCATGCAGAGCTGACTCACCGGAAAACAAGACAGACACCCTTTGTGCCCACAGAGTGGCAGGCATTTTATGACTCCTTCTGTAGTGGAGCAGGCCAACCCGTGGGAGCACAGAGGACCAACAGTGCAATTCCAAATGGAGACTAGAGAGAATGGTGGTCAGTAGAAGGAAAAAGAGAGAATTTCTTTCCTGTGTCCCTCCTCTGGTGAAAGTGGGCAGTTTCTCTTCCCAGCTGCCAGCTTCCCTCCTACAGGAGCCCTTCTTTGCTATAAACACTAGTGAAGCAATTCCCCAGCCTTTCTTGTTTAAGAAATGCTGTCTAGTCATTGCCCTGGGCACCTGGGCAAAGCTTTCTCTGTACTGCAGGGGATCTGTCTCATATTGAGGGCTTCTCCCAACCTACACCTATGGGGTCCCCAAATTCTCCCACCAGGAGAGTCACTTTTAAAGATCCCGTGAGACAAAAGAGCATCCTATGGTCAAAAGATACTGAAGCAGAGCAATTCATCTCATTGGCCTCTGACGGGAGAGGTATGGGGGGAAGCTAACTTATTTATATGGTGCCCTCCAAATAACTGGAGTTTGAACTTTCAAATATTTATAGGGGAGTGTCCCCAGGACCAAGAGCTAATGGTTAGCTAGTGTTTGGAGCTGCCAGCTTGGCCGCGTTCCCTTCAGGTTCATTTCTCTCTCTGTCTCTCTTCTCATGCTGAAGGATCCAGAGAGTAGTTCAGGGACCCAGGAACTCTCCTTTTTGTCTTGGTAGAGACTTTTCTGGACATGGATTTCAGAGCCTTGGAGATAAAAGGACCACACAAAGGCTTCCAGAAGCATCGGGCACTTGGTTAAAGAGTCCCTTTCTTATCCCGCACTTCCTCCAAGGGAAGACCATTGCATTCATTTAAAGTAGCTTGTTCTTGCTGCCTAGCTCAAGGATCTGCACCAACCTCTAGTTCACTCCATCCTGCCTGTTCCCTTGTGGCTTCACAGCTAACTATCCTGTGCTCTGCACCATGAGAAGGGTGCTGTTGTGTAAAGAGTTACACAGAGAAGAGGGCAGGGCTTTCAAAACCCTTAATCGGCATGAGGAAGGAAAGGAGATGAGCATGTCTATAGCCCAACTGCTAAGACTGGAGGGGGATGAGGACCATGAAGGGATGCAGGCAAATGGCATAGTGCAAGGGAAACAGAGAATCTCCGGGAAAGAAAATAAGGAGAGCTTCATGGCAGAGGCTAAACAGCTAAAGTAGGGGTCAGCCTTGTTTTCTTTGTTTACATTTTTTAAGTGTTGTGGGGGGCTCAGTACATGTGTGGGGCCAGAAGACAAATTTCAGGAGTCTGTTCTCTCCTACCGTGTACATTCTGGGAATTGAACTTAAGCCCTCAGATTTGGCACCTTTACCTATTGATCCATCTCAACAGCCCCTAAGGTCAGTCTTGATTGACAGATCAGTGGTTTTCTGTCAGTGAAGGACTGGAGGGGGTAAAGGGGCTGTGGCCACAGTGGGGTTGTGAGCAGGTTAGGGAACAGAGAGATTATAGGTGAGAAACTCTGATATCCAGGTGTTTAAGATCAGGGCAGGGAAGAGGATGCTGGGGTGGTGGTTTTTCTGGGGTGGATTTAAAGCTGATGCGGGTTGGATTAGAGGAGACCTCTAGAGCAAAGGTGACCTATAAAGAACTTTAGTAGTTCAGGCAGTGAGCACTGGGGTTAACCACAAAGGTATCAGAAGGGAAATGTAAGGATTCCAGAGCATGAGCGAAAGAAGCCACAGAGCATCGATGAAGATGGAGGTTTGGGTAGTGGCCCACCGCGGCTTAGGGAAAGTTTGTGCCAGGCATGGTGTGACAAACCTATAATCCCAGTGTTCTGGAGGCACAGGCAGGTGAATCTTTGTGAGTTCAAGGCCAGCCTGGTCTACATAGTGACTTCTAGGTCAGCCAAGGCTACACAGAGAGACCTTGTCTCAATAAAAAGGGGTGCCGGTGGGGGACCTGGGAATGGTCACCCCTGTCCATCCCTGAAATTACTAAACCATGTCCACTCCTTCCTCACACATGCAGAAACAAGCTCGATTCTGAGCTGGAATACTTTATTGAAATGCAATGGTTTTGCCAGGGGTGGGAGAGTGGAGGTGATGGTGGGGTCATGAAGGAAACAAAGAGGTAAAGGGCACTGCCCTCCCCACCACACACTTATACCAGGCTCCGAGAAGAGCAGGCAAGAGAAGACACAAGAGCAAAGGTGTTTTGTTTTGTTTTGTTTTGTTTTGTTTTCCCCAAATATTCCGTGGAAGGAAGCCTTGGGACTATGATCTCAGTGGGCGGTGAGCAAAAGAGAAAATAACTCGGGTAGCTGGGAGCACTAGCACAGCTGTATCCCGTTAGTTCTGGGCAACCACAAGCACTTGGACCAGACTAAAGGGTGTTTACAAAGAAATGAAACATGTGCCCTTCTTGCACAAGCATATGTACCCCTCGCCCCCACAACTTCTATATTTCATCTCACAAAGCTGAAGCACAGAGAAACACAGCTTCCTCTTTTGGGTCTTGCAGTACTGAGCTAAAGTGTGCACTGAACTAAGGTTGGAGCTTCAGGTTCCTGAGAGGATGCTGCTTTTCCTAAACAGCGCACATCGCACACGGGAGACTTATGCTTAGGCCTTCTCAGCTCAACAGCTGGCAGGTACAGAGGCAACAGAGCCGCTTTGAAGCTAACTTGTGTGCTTAGGGCTGAGTGCGAACTTCTCCAGCTTTTGCCTGGGATTCTAGTGAGTTCTCCGACAGGGCCCCTGCCTGATCTTATGCCCCTTCCCCACGTGGTGCTTGCCTGAAAGTAACCTCTATAGACCCTCAGAGCAGGTGACTCACCTCTGCTGGGCTGCTGAGAGCGGGTGAGCAGGTGTGATCCAAGCATCCTGCATCACTCTTTTCACTTGCAAGACCCTCCTTGCTGGAGCCAAAAGCCGCTGCATCTTTAGGGTATCTGCAGAAAGCCAGCAATCCACAAGCCTTGGGAGAGATGCCCAGCAGTTGTGGGCTGGGCTTTATAAGTCTCTGTGACTCCAGCCTCGGGAAGCCCCGCCTCAGCTTATCGAGGCCTCTGCCTGCTTCGGAAAAACTGGGCCAAAGGTCTCAGAACTCGAAGTCGAAGAAAAACATCATCTCTAACATGTACGTAGCTGCCCTGCTCCTGACTGCTGATCCCTGGCTGGCTGGCTCTGTCCTGCTCCTGGCTGCTCTCTGGCTGGCTGGCTCTGCCCTATTCCTGGCTGCTCTCTGGCCGGCTGGCTCTGAGACGTCCTTCGTCAGCCTTATATTTGTCCAGCCATGGAAGTGAGGAAGATTTCTTGCTAGGTCCTAATATATCCAACAGTCACCCCAACCGATCTCCCCAGGCCCTCCTGACTCCCCTGCTGAGTGACTCACCACTGGTTCCTAAGCCTCTCTGTGCTGTCAGATATTATCATTTTTATAAGAAGCAGTTTTTAAAGCCAAAAAAGACCTTTTCTTTCCTTTCCCTTCCTTCCTTCCTTCCCTCCCTCACTTCCTCCTTTCCTTCTTTTTTCCTCCCTCCCTCCCTCCCCTCTCGCTCTCTCTTTCTTGCTTTCTTTTGTCATGTTCTTCCTACGTAGCTCAGACTAGCCTTGAACTAGAAGTCAGTCTTCCTTGCTCAGCATCCCGTGAGTGTTGTGACTGCATGTATAATTTTTAAATTCCAGCTCTTGAGGCAGCTGAGAGCAGGTGTTGACACACATGTGAGGGGCTGGCTGGCTTTGGTCTGTGGAGCCGGCTATTTTCCTGTTATCTTTATTGCTCACCATTATGCTTACACAGCTCTCTGCACAGCTTTCAAGAGGGATGCAGCTAGTGCTGCTGGAGCGCTTCAGGATCCCCCAAAAGAAGTTCAGGCTCTCCTAAAAAGGAAAGGTATAAGGGGGACCCTGGAGACAGCCATGGAGGAGTAACTTCTCCTCAAAGATCTATGGCTACTAAGTTGCAGAGTGGGGTCCCACCTGTCGTTTAACTTGTATACTATGCCTGTGCATTCAGGCGCACTCTGGTGTGTAAGCACCTAAGGCTGCCAGAGGCTGACGTCAATGTCTTCCCCTATTACTGTCCGCCTTCGTTTTGGGGGTTGTATGTGTCTCTCTCTGAGCCCAGAGCTTGCCTATTGGGATAGACTGGCTGGCCAAAGAGCTGCTGGGATCTTCCCGTCTCTGCCCCTCCATAACTGGGGTTACAAATGTATGCTTTTACATAGGTGTGGGCTTACAAATCCAGATCCCCATGCTTTCACTTTGCCCACTGAGCCAGCATTCTAGCTCTTCTGCTACTTTGCAAGACAAAAGTTCCTGCCATCTGAGGTTCTAGGTGCGTGTCTGCCTCTCCCTTCTTATGATCTCACAGTGATCATGTGTTCACTCGGCAGCTGATGCAGTGAACCCCGATGTTAATGCAACTCTGTGAAGGAGTCACAAGGACCAGGGTAGTTCTTGGTTCATTTATTCCACTGAAGTCAGAAGCTCTAGTGTCTCCCAGGTCTCCTTTCTGTTGAATCCAACTAGACTGCTGTTCAAGCCATATCTACCTGCAACAGCCTCGCTGGCAAGACCCCTACCAAGAGCCTGTCTGTGGATCTCCAAGCCCTTCACACACTCCCAGGGGGTCTAGATGGTAGGAGAATGACAATAGCTGTTCTCACTTCCACAAAGATGTTTACAGAACTCAGGTTGCCGCACTCAAGGATGTCAGTGGCAGCATGCCCTCTCCCCCATTATCCCTGCACCTCAACTAGACTTGCTCCTCCTCTGTACTTCCTCCAATCCTGGGAGTCAAACATTCCTCGTTCCCTCCCCCACATTCATCTTGGCTCATGTCTATTCTAACCCAGTCTCTGCATAGTGCTCATGCTTTTCCACTGAGCCTTGCGCAAAGTTCTGTCATCAAGAGACTTCTCTATTGCCATCTCTTCTTTGAAATGTCCCCTGTTTATTGACTGGGAACTGAGGATTCCAATGGATGATTCCAGCTGGCATTCTCGTGGCTCTTTCAATGGCGGTTTGGATCTTTTCCTTTTCCAAGATCCACTCCTCTGGCCACCTATACTCAAGGCTCTTTAGTACTTGGAACAAGACATGTACCTTCTTGGTTCTTCACTGATACCTGGAGTATTGAGTACTTACATTCTCCATCCTTTCAAAGCCACCTACTGTCAAGCCAAATGTGATGGTGCACTTTGTAACACCCCCTTCCCCCTGCCACACACACACACACACACACACACACACACTCAGGAGGATTGGGAGTCCATACCTTGAGGTAAGTATCCAGCCCACACTACATTAGCCTCTGACTCAAAACAAGCAAAAACCTGTTGTCTTAAAGTCCAGGCCATCAGTCGAGACCACCCAATAACCCCATTTCTTTCAGTCCCGTAAAAGTCTTGTTCTGCTTCCCATCAGATGTATCTAAACACACAGACCAAAGCTTCCTCTCTAACCTCAGTACCTTCAACACTTTTAGAGACATCACCTTCATCCTGGCTTCCTATAGAAGTTATCATGTTCAAGTTCTTGCCTTCCTCATGATTTCAGTCTCCCAGCTCAGTCATAATCTTGACCTTGTTCAGACACCTGTAACTTGGACACAACAACAGTACCAACCTCAGGTACTTATTAAAATTAACTGAGGGAACACTCTCAGATGCTTGTCACAAGTAGCCAGTAAACACAGACTACTTTGAATATACTTAAAAGAAGGAGGAAAATAAAGCTGATTAATCTGCGGGAATTCTTTGTGCTTGCTGAGGCAGGACAGAAAGACATGGAGAACTATGGGAACATAGGAAGGGAAAGAGCCCCTTACCCTTGAGTGTGGTTAAAGCCTATCCCAGCCAAGCAACAAGATTCCAACACATTACCAGGCTGCCAACAAAAAGACACCATCCCTTTTGTGTAAGACATTTTATGTCAAGGGAAGGGCCTCATTTCTCTTCTAAGACGTTTTGTGGGAATGTCAAACAAGACTATTATAAGCTCTGCTGTGCAGTGAAGATACCTCCCTGCCTCCTTTAGTGCTAGAGGGTTGCCTGTTCAATCAATGTCATGTCAACTGCCCCTCAGACCTGTGATCTCATTTTGTTTCCTTGGCAACCTCACCAAACTGGAATATACGGCTGTTTTAAAGACTATGAGATGCAATGCTGTCTTAGAGAAACTCATACTTATTGCCTCTGTTGTGTCTTATTTTCTTCCCAAACATCTTTTTTTCCCTTAACTCTTGTGATTTAAATCTATGTTAAAAAAATAACCTTTAATTTTTCTATGTGTGTATATGTGTGTGTGTGGTGGGGTACATGTGGAGGCCAGAGGTCAAAGTAGAGTCTTCTCTCTCTCTCGTCACTCTTTATCTTATAATTAGAGTCGGGGTCTCTCACTGAGTTGGAGGTGCTGATTCAGCTGCACAGACTGGCTAGCAAGCCTCAGGGATGTCTGTCCCTGCCTTTGCACCCTCAGCACTGGGATGCAGACACATCACCATACCCAGCTATTTATGTGGGTGCCGGGGATCTGAACTCTGGTCTGCACTTTACCAACAGAGCCGTCTCCCCAGCCACCTACCCCAGTTGTCTTTTAATAAACCCCAATTCTGCTTCATACTTACTTGCTCTGAAATTCTTTCTTGTGTTGAAGCCAAAGTTTGCCTGAGTCTAGGTAGGTCATGAAAAACTAAAGGAACTTTGGAAGTTGCTGAAGGTTAACAATTTGTCTTTATTGCAGGAATGCTTCCGAGAGTGCCTCGTTTAATACATTCACAGGAACAAGAATCCCAGGATAGAATCTGTCCACACAGACAGTGGAGGAAGGACACTTCAGTGATGTGAAGTGGTCGAATGCTGCACCTCCAGAGCCTCATAACAATTTATTCTGGCTGGGTGTTGGTGGCACATGCCCTTAATCCCAGCACTCGGGAGTCAGAGGAAGGCAGATCTCTGTGAGTTCGAAGCCAGCCCGGTCTACAAAGTGAGTTCCAGGACATCCAGAGTTACACTAAGAAACCCTGTCTCAAAAAACCAAAAACCAAACAAACAATTTATTCTGGGTGATCTCTAGCACCCCAATAAGCCATTCCATGCTCCTCCGTGTCAGACCTAACACCCTGCTACCAGCCAGACCTAACATCTGGAATGTACTAAATTAACAAAAGGCTAAGTGTTGAAGACAGCGTCCAAGGTCACAGCAGAGTTTCTCCCATCTTACTATGACTTGTCTCTCTGATGTCTCCATCAATGTATTTTAAAAATACCTTATTTAGAACTTTCTTTGTTATGTTGCCATTAAGACTCCATGAAACTGCTTCCAGGTTGGACACTACATTTGGAGAGACCTAAATATATGACCCCAGGTCAGGGTCATTCAAAGTTTGTTCCAGAGCAAACCATGTATCTTATACCTTTGAAGTAAGAGCTGTCTCTTGATAATACAACAATCAAGTATCTATTAGATTGGATGTTTATGGTCTTTAGTATTGTCAAATGAATACATTGCGTGTTTGTAATCCTGTGTGTTTGTGTAAAAAGCCTGAGGTTTTTATTCAGCTCCATACATCTTAGTGACATCAGGAGTATGTGAGGACTGCCTGGATTCTTCCAAATGTAGAGATCAGAGAGTGAGAAGCAGCCAGAGGATGGACGTGGACCTGTCTGGTTTGGTAGTGCCTTGAGAAAGAGGGAGAATGGCCTTGCCATTTGTCCCCCAGCACTCTGGGACACTGAAGGCTCAGGACCTGCCATTGGATTTGATGATAGGAAAGTCACTGGTGACCTTGATAGGAGAGATCTCAATGGCAATGGGGAACTAGAGACAAACGACCAAAGAGATTGTAACACAATGAATTTGCTACAGAGGAGGATATGGCTTAGGCGGCAAACAGTAAACCAAAGAGACTTGTGAAGAGTTTTAGAAGACAGAGCTGTGCAGGAATAGTATGATAAGACCAGCACAGTAAGAAGGAGAAACTGGACACAGGGGAGGGGGCAGGGCAGTGGAATGAACCCGCCCTTGTGTGGACTGAGACACCACAATCACTGCAAGTGGTGACGCTGGCCACGAGCCCAAAGCAGGCACTGTTCCTCTCTAATAACAGGAGGGCGGAGGGGGAAGGGGAGCAGCCCTTTCGGATGGTTACTGTGTTCTCAGGGAAACAAGAGTCCAAGTGTTCAGCTGAGAATGCGGATGTGAGAACTTAAACACAACTTTGTGAGATCTCTCTGTTTCTCTGTCTCTTTCTCTCTCTCTGTGTGTGTCTTTCTCTGTGTCTGTCTGTCTGTCTCTCTCTCTCTCTCTGAGAAATCAGGTCACACCTCCTATGCAGCACCCCTCTACCTCCTGCAAATATAACAAGAATTTGTAAGCAAATGTTCTTCCTTATTCCTGCCCCTTAGACAAACAACTCCTATGCCTACCCGGAACTGGGTTGAAACTGTGGCCAGGCTCCCCACCTCCTGGGAAAACATGAAAGAAAGGACTTTCTGGTGTTCAGAGCACATTTTCTCTGTGTGTCTCTGTCTCATTCTCTCTTTCCTCCCTCTCTCTCTCTCTCTCTCTCTCTCTCTCTCTCTCTCTCTCTCTCTATCTCTTTGCTCCTCTTCTCTTCTCTCTTTCCTCCCTCTCTCTCTCTCTCTCTCTCTCTCTCTCTCTCTCTCTCTCTATCTATCTCTTTGCCCCTCTTCTTTTCCCTCCCTCTCCCTGTTACTTTCCTCCCCTCTCTCCCTCGGGTTCCTCTTAACATGCTGTCCATGGAAATTACCCTGTTCACTTTAAACTACCTCTTCTACTCCTGTACATTAAGCTAGTTCCCTTAAAGGAAACCTCTCCCTCTCTTTAAGACTCCATCATGTTGTCTCTCATATGGTGTTATATTCCTCTTAATCATGCTTCCATGGTCACATGACTCTCTCCCACTGAAGTTCGTTCTGAATGATAATCTGACAGCTCCTTTTCTGAACCTGCCATTCTTTCCTTCCACAGTTGAAATGCACGATTGTAAATCCAAAGCTAAGCTTCTAGCAGTAAGCTGTGTTTTCCATTAGCCATTCTTAGCTGTCCAGACGCAAGATTAAAGTGGATAGCCAGGAAGAGATGGCACACACCTTGGCAGGCAGAGACAGGTGGATCTCAGAGTTAGAGGCTAGCCTAGTCTACAGAACAAGTTTCAGGACAGCCAGGGCTTCACAGAGAGACACTGTCATGGAAAAACCAAAAATAAATAATAATAATAAAATAAAGTGGATCCAAGGCAGCCACAGTCAGAAGTTCAGTAGGTCCGAGTGAACAAATGTCAAAGTGTTTATAAGGAGTTAGAGGTTTATGGTGACACAGTGTGGTTATCTGAGTTGAGTAGGGATAAGAGAGGAAAGATAAATAGTAGAAAAAATAGAGTCAATGGTGAGCCCAGCAGAGGTGAGGATGGCACTTTAAAAGTGGGCCAGCAAAGTCAGGGTTGTCAGAGATAGGGACATGTGAGCTACACTTCCCTGGGTGGAGGGGGGCTGCCTGTACCTGTGCTCAAGATTCTAGAGGCCATGCTATTTTCTTAATAAGCTCACTCTAAATTACTACACTTACACTCATAGATGAAGCCACCATCATCTCTGGGCAGTAACTGCAGGGACCTGTAACTGGCCACGGTGCTGAGGATGAGCGACTGTTGAGTGCTCAGCCACATGGGACATCTATACAACTCCCTCCATGACTAGGGGAACATGGCGGGAGAGAGGCAGGAAAAATGCAAGATCCCAGGAAAAGGATGGGAATTCCTGATTCCAGACATGGCATGGCCTTTGCACTCTTGAACTCACAAGGTGTGATTATCTGTGCAAGGTTTGTACAAGATTGGTCCCTTAATATCTTATCCTGGGAATGGGGAGGTTCAGGACAGGGCCTCCCTGCAGTTAGTGTTTGGTGGGGCAGAGGGAAATGTTTTCTTTAGTGGTAGAACAAGCAACCCTAATGAAGAAATTAATTGGATTGTGTGTGTGTGTGTGTGTGTGAGAGAGAGAGAGAGAGAGAGAGAGAGAGAGAGAGAGAGAGAAGACAAAGGAGAAGAAAAGAAGGAGGAGGAGGAGGAGGAGGAGGAAGAGGAGGAGGAGGAGGAAGACTAGTAGTAAGAGAGGGACAGGATGGTATTAGGGAGTGAGTACATATGACCAAAATATAATGAAATCCAGTTTTATATAGTTAATATAACTATAAAACTAACAAAAAAAAAGACTCAAGAAAAAAGATTCCATAAGTCCAAATGACTGAACTTTGTGTGGTGGGGAGAGTTAAACTGTTGTAATCAGAGTTAAATTATCTCAGGCTATGTTCAGTTCCTTTGAAAACCTTATTTCCAAGCTCTATATCTGTTCTAATATCCATATGACTACCAAAAACCTTACAATATATCTTTACATACACTAGTGTCCACAAGTCTGAAAGCTAAGAATGGGGCTGGAAGATGACTCAATGGATTAAGTTCTTGCCATACAAGCCTGACAATCTGAGTTCAGATCCCCAGAACCCACATAAAAGCCCATGCAATTGTGCAAGAGTCTGTAAGCCCAGCAGCACACCTCACTGGGAGCTGGGGGAGGGGAGACAAGAGAGTCTCCAGAAGCTGGCAGCAAGCAAGCCTGGTATGTGCAACACCGAACAACAAGGCAGCATGCGCGCGCGCACACACACACACACACACACACACACACACACACACACACATCACACCATGGAGAGAGAGATAGAGACAGAGAGACAGAGACAGAGACAGAGACAGAGACAGAGAGACATAGAAAGAGACAGAGGGAGGAGATTTAGGAATTATTAGCAAATAGCATTTGAGACCTATACCAGAGAAGTCCTCACTCTGTGGTAACCTGCTTACCTGATGTTTCTACCAATGCATTTTTTTGAAAATGCCTCAATTTTAATTTAATTTATTTTGCTACTGTAGAACACTTCTGTTCTTTTCTCCATTCTCTCCTCCTCCCCTGCTTTCCTCCTTTATACCTTCATTTCTGATGCTGGAGAGATGCTCAGTTGTTAAGAGCATTTATTGCTCTTACAGAAGACCCAGGTTTCATTTCCAGCACCCACATGGTGGTTCATAGACACCACAACTCCAGTTCCAGGGGGTCTGATGTCCTCATCTGTGGGCACAAGGAGTTCATCTGGTGTGCATACATACCTGCAGGCACAACACTCTTACACAAAATGAAAAAAATTTAAATCATAAAAAGAAAAGGAATTGAATAAAACTGTTAACACATTGTAACACAGCTTTCACAGCCACCTAAATCTATTCCTGGGCCATAGTTACTCATATTTGGCTCTAGAATAGAGGTGATGCTTTGTTTGTTTTGCATTGACACGTAAATGAAGTTAAAATTTTGGAGATGATGCAGACACTTCCTCTGATGAGCTCTGAATGCAGGAATCTGTCTCTCCACATAATAGAAATATTTGTAACTATTGCCTCTGAACTAAAATATTTCCTCCTGAAAGGAGATAGAAGGCTTGAAGACTCAGGAAGCTGATGAAACTCACAAGGCTCAGAAAGTTCAGAAACTTACAAGGCTCATAAGGCCCTCAGGCTTTAAGAGTAGGAGAAACCTACTGCAAAGAGGAAATAACCTTTTCACATTGTAGAGCAAGTGCCAGATGATGACAGGGAAATCCAAGTCCCCCTCTTGAGGTTCTTGGTTTTATCAATAAAATAATTTAAGAACAGATTCACATGAAAGCTTGAGAACTGTGTTGGGTAATTTTATGTCAATTTGACACAAACTAGAATCATTTTTGGACCAGGGAGCCTGCAGTACATTTTTTTGAGTGAAGATTGATGTGGAAGTGTCCACCTCACTATGGACAGTGCCACCCCTGGTAGGTGGTCCAGACTGCTACCAGAAAACAGCCTGAGCAAGCCATAAAGAGCGAGCCCAGTAGCAGCATTTTACTATGGCTTCTACTCCTGTTCCTGCTTCAGTCTCCTCCTCAAGTTCCTGCCATGACTTCTCACAATGATGGACCGTAATCTTTTTTTTTTCTGCAGATTTTTTTATTTGAATTAGAAAAAAATATTGTTTTACATGAAAATCCCAGTTCCCTCTCCCTCCCCTCCTCCCCTACCACCCCCCCCCCACTAAAACCCCACCTATCACATATTCTTTCTTCCCCCCCTACACTGTCAGCCCACCCCCGTGTGTCTTGGCTCAGGGAGTATTCCTCTATGAGGAATGGGCTCCCAAAGGATGTACTGTAATCTTCAAGATGAAATAAACCTTGCTTTTGCTCATGGTGTTTTAGCACAGCAGTCACAACCCTAACACAAGGTAAATTAGGAGTTTAAATGAAAAGCACACAGGAAGGCAAGCTATAAATCTCAGCAGCTGCACATAGGAAGTGAATGAGGAGAGAAGAAGGGCATGTCACTTGAGTTAAGGCCACATGGAGGTCACCCACAGGGTTTGAAGGGGTGACACCTGAGGTGTGAGGGGGAAACGTGCTTAGAGAAGAGAG